TGTGCTAAGAAGACACCCCGTTGGTTTGCTCATAGAGTAGGCCACACTGAGTCTGACCCCCTCTTTTCGAAAGGGAACTTCTGCAATGTGCTAAGTCCTGCCAAAGTGACGTGGCACAAGGTTTGCCAGTAATGGTCGTCTTCTTCCATACGGTAGCCTCGACCTGTGGTTTTGGGGTGGCTGAACTGGGGCTAAGGACGCTCAGTATATATCTGCCTGTGGTAGTTCCGGTCAGATAGAGAGGTGAACACGACTGACTGTAGTATGCCTTTCGCAATCTGCAGCCTGTGAAAGGTTCAGTCCCCTGACTAATTGGACAGCGATGCAAACTGCTGTACTTCTGCTGCCTCCGTTCAAGGGGCTTGCCGCTGAGCTCTCTGGTTCTGTTTGGAGGTGTTGTAATCACACCAGAAGCAAGCAGAGGTTTGACATCTTTCCGAGGACTAGATGCGGGTGGCCCTTGCCCTCTTTCCTCCGGGATTTGAAGTTTACCCGGAGGTTGCCGTGGTTCCCAGGCATTCAACATGCTGGGTCACTCTAAATGTATCTCGACTTCGATACACATATACACATGGATTACGGCCGAGTGGAGCAAAGCCCACTATGTTGGCTCATTCTTTGTCTCTACGTGTACGGCTGTCGACTGTCAATACTGGGAACTCGTTTTCAGTAGAAGATTCGCTGCTGGCCAGTTCTTTTGAGCGTTTGTTAGTTGGTGGAAGATGAATCAGCTGGAGGCTACGCATGCCTGGTAGGCCCTTCACTCACGTCTCAGATAACGGACGGAAAGGAGACGGGGAAATGAGCAATTGACTCCAATTGAGGGAATATCAACCATCCCTCAAACCGTTATTGCTTGGTTGGATCACCTTATTTTGAGAGCGGTGACATCGAAGTCGTGGAAGAGGCCCATTATACGTTGTGGTGAGAGGTGTTGAGGAAGGCAAGCGAAAGCGTAGCCACGTCTAGCGGAGGGCTCATAAAACGATGAAGACAAACTCTTGACGGAATCCGACCTTTATCCTCTTGACATGCCAACAAATGGTTTGGCGTCTTCACCACTGCTTGTACGTGGCCAGCAAATCGTTTTGGTGTCTCACCTGACAATTTGTTCGGAGCCAAAGATGATGATCCGAGCTGGTTTATGGCATAAACACATGTAGTCTATGATATGAACTCCATGTGACATGATCATATTCGCAGGTCCACAAAGGTGTGATAGAAAAAAAAAATGGATAAGAGAGGGAACAAAGAGCTCAGCATTGAGACTCTGGAGGACATCCTTTGCAGTGACACTTCTTCACCTTGTAAGGTGGTGGTGCTTTGCGCATTGCGGCGAGGACTCCGAAGCAAATAAAATCTTTGTTGTTGTGCTGTGAATTAGCCGCAGTCTCTGGATGGGCTTGCGTTCTCTTGGGCCAGATGAATCACGGAAGAAAAGTATCATTAAACCACCAGTACACCCCAGGGGGTCCTAGGCCCCCTCTGGGGAGGCTCTGAGGCAAATGCATATGGACCTGCGTGGTGCACGGATTCGGCCACCATGTTAACGGCCTAAAAACGTGGAGGTACTGGTGGTTTAACTTTTCTTGATTGGAGGTACGGCGATGAAAGGAGTGTCGACTCTACTTGTCAGCCGATGCCTATGAATAATGGAGGGCGATATGGACAATGCGGCTGGCGTAAACAGATCAGTGTTTTGGGTACTTTGAAGTTGGTTTGTTCACAGTGCTTTGATCCATACTTGTGCCTCTTTGATTGTCTAATGTGGAATGCGTGCTGTGTCTTCATTTTCTCATTTCAGCCTTATCAAGCGTTGGGGCATCAAGATAAGGAAAGGTATGAACGAGAACTGAAGGACTACAGGGAAAGGATGGCTGTGCAAATGCCGCATGTAGTTGCGTCAGGGCAACAGCAACAGCCACAGATGAGCCATCGAGATCATCATCATCACCTGCCTCCTATCGTATCTGGCAGCTTGCAGCTTGTGCCGGTTATGGACCAGGCATCCGTGAGGTCGAACTATGAAGCCGTGGAAAACACATGCTTCGGTGCACCGATGGAAGCGGGTGGTTCCCATATGGAAGGGCCAAATCTTGAGCTCCGTCCGCTTCTCTCTGATGGTGCTCATGTTAGAGAGCTGGATGGGACGAATGTAGTGTTGAGCATGGCCGGAGATGGACATGGAAGTGGTGGGAATGGGGCTGCTCCAGGAGGGGGCATAGAGGTGCAGGGCAGGGCCAGCATGATGGATGGACATACAACGCATGTCGAAGATTCGCATGGCGGCCATATGGCGGACATGCGGATGTCGATGGTGGAAGTGCAGCGAGCCGAAGGAGAAGACTCGACAATGGGAGAGAGCTGTGCATTTGACGTGCATCGATCTGCGGCGTTAACTCGTGAGCTCATGGCGACTGGTGTTGTCAATGCTCAACAACTGCAGGGATTGACACAACAAGTCTCATCTCCTGGTCTGGTCCTCGGACAGGATGCCTATGGCACTTGACTTCCACACTTTCGCCCGTTTTTCTTCTGGCTTTTACTTGTGTACAACCCCATGCACAGAGTCACGGAGAGAGAGAGAGAGAGAGAGAGAGAGAGAGAGAGAATCTAGCGTGGGGATGCCGTCATGCTGGTGCCTCTTCGTACGATCACTTTCCGAAGCCCCGTCACTTTTTCTTTGATGCTGGGGGGAGAGGCATTTTTGTTTTGATTTTCAGCGAGTGGGCGAAACAATCAAAGGTGTAGTCTGGGAGGTTCACGAAGAGTGTAAGTCCACATTATTTGTCTTTTTGCGTTTCTTCTGTAGGAGAAGGAAGAGAGGTAATGAACAGGGGGGTTGGTGGGTGATGGAGGGCGTTAATGGTTGGGGTAGTGGCTCGGAATGGAGAAGTAAATAGATAAGAGCATTGACAAATATGCTATACACATTTTGCCGTAGTGTTGCCCTATTGGGCGAAATGTTGTAGGGCTATTTTCGTCGTCTTCCTTGGGCTTAGGTCTGAATGGTAATGGTGTAAAACTAATGGAAGTGGGAGGGTATCGGGGGGGAGGGGGTGACGAGAATCTACCCTTTTTGTCTTCTGTTGTTTAAGAGAAAATGGTAGGTCGGGCAACGCACATGGCAACGGTAGGGATGTTTCTTGTACCAATAAATCTGGCTGAGCCCAATGAATGTTTTCCTCTCTTTATTTTTCTCCTGGCCTTGATGCTTCGATCTGCGTGTATACGTATTCCATTTCCAGGAATTTAGATCTCTGAGTATCTCTTTTTCTAAAATGTTTTGAATGTCTTTTGATTGTAAATACTCAGACGGTGTGATTTCTCAGGTACCAGTGTGGCCTGCCTTGGCGGGAAGGTGTCGGCAGTCGGCGGATAGTATATTGCGAGGGCTATTCTTCAGCAGCATTCAATCCGATAATCGAAGTCCAATCCACTACAGCCCCAACCCCTAGTTTGAAAATGCAGTCCAGTGCATTGCCTGGGCTCAGCGTTAGGGTTGTAGTGGCATGGCCGAAGCGGAGCTGCGGCTGCCGAACCTTTGTGGCGTTGCAGTCTTGGACTTCTGGGCGCAATAATGTGGCAATTGCACGCTTCCCTAGGGAAGGGAATGGTTGTCGAAGGATTTAAAATGCATGTTGCACTTTCATGTGGTCGATGACGCGACAGGAGCGAACGTTGAGATTGGTATTTATCTTGCCGTCTTTCTAAAAGTCTCGTCTTTGTTAACTTCTACAGTGCGTTCTGGTAGACTCACTGGCCAGTGTTCTCTGGTACAACTCTTGTTGCTAGATACGCTGGCCAGGAGTTGGACCCATGTCGACTCTTGGTAGTGCTGTTCTCCCCTTCAATGGTGTTCTCTCTTTATGGTGGGTGGCGGAGGATGATATGTAATTTTAGCTAGCGTTATGTTCTTCCTTTGCCGTTGGTATGCTCTCTTTCGTCACAGCAAACGTTTGTGTGGAAACATTGTTTTTCTCAGGCAGTGTCTAATGTTTTTCGCACGTGAATGTGTCTGATCGACTACGTATGGGCAATTGCAGTGTGAATATTGTTACTTGCTTGTATGGTCTTGCTAATTAATCACAAGTGCAGTGATAAAACATTGCGTCTGCCGGGTTGCGTGATAAACTGTGAGATTGGTACGTCGGGGATGTTTGGAACTCTCTAGGGTTGGTTGCTTGATGGTGCCATGCGCATCATGGGCAAGGAGAGAGTTAGATGAGCTTTTTGGTTGTGTCATGCATTCGCGTCTCTGCATGCGAAGCGCACTTGCAATTGTGCCAAAAGCTCGTTATCCCAATGAGCCTACATCACCATGAGAATGTGGAAGTAGGACATGGCATGTAATGTATTTGCTTATCCATAATGGTGAAGGTGTTTCTTGGTGATTGGGATGCAAAGAACCCCCTACGTTTCTCTGCTTTCAAGGTGGCAAGCACGACATAGAGTACCGCTTGCTAGGCGTTACTTTGATAAAGGCCTACTGGATCTTGGCTTGCACTTCTTTTGCTGAAATAGGACAAAGTATATTGAAATAGGACAAAAGTATATAGTTCTATTTGACGATATATATATATAGTGTTGTTAGTGCTTGTTAACCATGATGCACAGTGGAGGTGGTGTTCTTGGTGATTGGGGTGCGAACAAGAGTTCCGTATCCCCAGTTTCAAGGTGGCATGTATCAAGACTCCGCTTGTCGAGTGTTTGTGCTCCGGTGAGCTCTGCGGACTCATGGTTTGCTCATTGCTGAAGTGGCCATCTGTGGGACAGTATCTGTTTGTTTGGTCGCCGAGATATTGACGGAAATTGCGTTGTGAGTAATAACAAAATTGAGTTGCACCTGTGGCCTCAAAGGCTCATACTTAACGGCAGTGGGATGTTTCATGCCAAACATGTCGAGTGATGATCCGATTACGAAACTGGTGGTGCGAGGAACACACTGATGCTTTAGGTGCGTAAGATGTGAGGAAGTGGCATCGGAGAGGGGAGGTATGTATATGTGTATACGTATATAGGGTTTAAACTTCAGATGAGTGGGTGAAACTCCGACAAAACAGTCTGTCACATTCCCTCGTTTGTTGTGTCTCTGCATATGGTTATCGGGCAGTTGTGCTGTGTTTGGTGATGTACTTATATATCTGTATGTCACAGAGAGGACTGGGTTGTGAGCTGCGGGCAGAAAGAGAGGAAACGGCAAGGAACGGTCGGAGGAGGACTGTGTGGCAGAACCACCCAGTCGTCAGACTTCTGACGTGTACATTGCAGTCTGTTCTGCACGACAAGAGAAAACCCTGCAAAAGAACAAAGGAAACATGAGTCCTCTAGGGATGTTAGTCTGCGAAATGTAGCACAAATTCCGAGCTCATTTCTTGTAAATAGTGGGGGTTCGGTGGGGTGTTCTGTAGGTCATTGAGATGATTTGGAGAGGGTTTATTTTATTTTTTTGGTGGTCCTGTTCTTATCTTGATTTTTCTTTTGGATATGGTGCCTTTAGCCGGAACTCGTTACGATTGACATTTACGGCATGTGTTTTTCTGAGAGTCTTTTTGAAATTTGAATTTATCTTCCGAAAAGTGACACCCCTCCATCAGATCTTGTGCGCAGCCTGAACAAGTCCCTAGACTGGACGGCTGAGCGAGATAGAATAGACCCGGAGCAAACCGACCAGATTCAGAGCACAGAGCACATTATTCGTGTCCTTTTCGGTGCAGCCCTTAATGTTGCTACAGACCTGGAATGGCAGTTTTCCTAAATGGTCTGTCGTCATTCATTTAGTTCTTTCCTGAAATGTGTACTGTTTTACCAAGTGGCGCATGAAGTGTTGAAATGGAGAGACCTGAGTTCGAACCCCAACAAAGGAATCGGACGAAGGGGACTACAACTCTGAATTCAGCTGGGGCCGATCGATTCAAAGCTGATGNGAATTCAGCTGGGGCCGATCGATTCAAAGCTGATGTCTCACGGCTGTCGCCCTTCTAAAATATATAATAAAAAAATACCAGTGGCAGGGGATCGCTTGTCCGGCCGGGCCGAAAAGCGAGTTAAAAAGTTGGGCTGTTTTCCGGGCGGTCTGTCCTGCCTGGGTAACCCCCTCCTGGGTGGTCTGTCCAGCCTTCAGCCCAGTGCATTTTCGTGCTTGGGCGGTTCGTTCCCAGCTTTGGCGTTGCCATCATTGACGGACTGTGAAACAGCAGTGACCCAGCTTCGCATTTTGTCCTCCAACGCCTGAGCTGCGTGCCCTCATCGCTGTCTCCTCCGACGACTTTGCACAAGTGGCACACCATCGCCCCCTGCAGAGTCCACTGTCTTTTTCTTCTAGAGAGAGAGAGTTGGCATGTGCCACGTGGCATGGCCCACCTTTTTTTAAAGACAGACAGAGAGAGAGAGAGAGAGAGAGAGAGAGAGAGAGAGAGAGAGAGAGAGAGAGAGAGAGAGAGAGTGCCCTGCTTTGCTCATCTCCTACTCTCACAATCTCCGTCTTCGTAACATGCTTCTTTTTTTTTTTTGGGTAAAAGTTTCACGCCTGTTGAGGTGCCATCCCAACCCCCCCGCCATCTTCTTGTCCCTTCTCCTTCTCCCTCCTCTGCCATCTCCTTGCCCTCCTCCATCTATCTCCTTCAACCTCCTGTTACTATCTCCTTCCTCCCACGTGCAGGCAGTTCAGTATTGCGGGCAAAACACCACCCCCTCCCACACCTCAACCCCCCAGGAAGGGCAGGCACGAAATAGAGTACCGCTTGCTTGGCGTTACTTTGATAAAGACCTACTGGATCTTGGCTTGCACTTCTTTTGCTGAAATAGGACAAGTTGAGGGTGGATTTTGCATGCTGTCAGCGAGTGCAGAACGGCCAGGCCACTTTCTGGCCTTCCTGGGTTACCAGGGGGTACCTTGGCCCGTGGCGCTCCGGGCACGCATGCCTGGGGATTTTTTTTTTTTCCTTCTTTACAGGGAACTTCCGTGGCCTGGCCACCTGGGCCAGCCAAGATGACCCGAGCAGCCCAGTAGTAACACGGAAAAAAAAGCAAATGTCAACTACTCCTGTTTGTGAGACCTAACCCAACCCAAGCCAAGCCAAGCCAACCCAATCCAACCCATTGGTAAGAGAAAGAAGTTCAAAGAACCGAACACAACGTGCGCCAGTCTGAAATGCGCCGGAATTTGTTGGTAGGCTCGGGTACTTGCCTTCCCGATTTGCTCTCCAACCTGCAGGTGCGGAAGTGCTCTCTGATGGGAGGCGTTCTCGTGTTGAAAGTGAACGGCGGCCTATCTTCTTTATTCACACGATTGAATAAATCTGAACGATTGGGGAGTGGGTCTGCAGTGGGGGGGGGGTGTCTGTCCATATATACCTGTCTTATGAGAGCATTGACATTAGTGTTCATTATCTTCAGTTAGGAAACTGAGTCTTGGAAATAACACCGTACCCGCAACCAGAAAGTTAAAATAGGAAGTTGAACAGATTTTGATTTTGCAAGTCTGCGTTCGAACTAGGATTCGGAGCGAATCTGATTATAATGCGGGCTGACACATCTAGGAAGGTCCTCGTCGTGCTAAATATATCCTCGTTGGTTGACGTATGAATGGCCAACGCATTTGTGGCATTTCCTCATGATTACGTGGGGCAAGGTGTAACGGACCTAGCTCAGTTCTTTCCCACGCCTCAAAATTTTGAAATACGGACTCGTGTTCGAGCAAAGAAGGAGAGAAAATAACAGCATGGAAAAATTTCGCCCAGTTTCCATTTTTTTTTCTTTCTCCCAATGACCAAGGTATGATGGGCAGGAATGGAGAATGTGTGTGAGCTGTACCTCGCGCAATCTGTCAGCACATGTGCAATCATCGATTGATACTCTGCTCATCTGCTCTCTTTGGATCCGGTAAGCGAGAGCAGGCCTGCCCCCCCTACCGTCTTCCCCCGAACATAACGCACCCTGAAAATGAATGTATGCAAGGCATGTTTCTGGCCCGATACAGTCGAAATGAGGTTGCGTTGTGTTCGGGGGAAGATGGTAGTAGGGTTGGGTCCCACCAGCACAGAAGTTGTCCAGGTGCAGTATCCCAAGTGTTGGGTCCCACCAGCACAATGCATAACGCTATTAAAAGTAGATGACAATAAACAATAAAAAATTGAGTACATAAAATTGGATGCTGAGATATAAGTGAATTACACAAGAAGAAATTTGCCCGTGGGAGGTAAAGATGTCCATGCCCGCACAGATTGTCAGGTGCAAAGCAGAGAAGGTACATACCTACCACGCGGAGCAGGAACGGTTTTCCAAAAGAATGAAGGTGCTACAAAAAGTTAACTGCATATCGTTCGAAGTGTGCGTCTTGTCATGTTCGCTGTGCATACTAGAACCATGTTCGCTGTGCACACTAGAACGTGCACTGACAAAGCATGCAGGAAAAGACGAGAAAAAAAGAAAGAAATAAAATAAAGCGTGACTGTGCCCGGTCTACACGAGAAAAAAAGAAAGAAACAAAATAAAGCATGACTGTGCCCGGTCTACACGAGAAAAAAAGAAAAGAACAAAATAAAGCATGACTGTGCCAGACCCGGTGTGTGTGGGGGGGAGGGGGCAGGTGAAGTTCGTTGAAGGGATGAAGGTGTAACTCACCACCACACAGGTACGTGAACAGAGCAGGTGCCTCAAAAAGCTGATCATGGGAATGCTACCGTCTTATGCAACCCTCGTTATGAATGTATACAGGCTATATTTCTGGTCTGATGTGGTCGTGATGGTGGGTGGGTTATGTTCGGGGGATCACAGCAAGAGAAAAATTAGACTTGTGAAGCAGCCTCTGGATTCGGTGTGCCGGCAGTGCGTCTCCCCACCCAGAGTGTGCCAATGCCCCGGGGGTAATCAACAGAATTGTCAGGAAGTAATCCCACAAGTGGACGGATGGGTTCATCCCTCAGTGTCTGTAGGTTTTGGATCGACATTCTCTTGCGAAATGGGAAGGTGCATCTTTATTGTCCTTCCAAGTTCGTTGGCCGGTCTCCTCAGCGTATGTTGATGTGCATGTGGATGCATATGGGCGTGTTTAACAGAAAGATGCATGGTTGAAAATATTTTTTACTTCAATGTTTCGTCACCAGCAACTCTGCAGATGGAGTGCAATCTTTGACACAATGAAGAACAAAGAGCAATAAATAAGAATGGACACTGTAAAGAAAAAAGAGAATTGAGAAAAAAAAGAACCGAGTTTGGGGAGATAATTATGTCCTTGCTCCCTTTTTTTTTTTTTACTTCTTTTTTTTATTATAATAAATTTGGACCATTTCTCGATTGATGCGTGTCATCCTTGCAAAGGGGCCATGCTAATCTTCTCGTTCTCTGTATCGTTCCAATTTTAACGGTTGTCCCGAAGGATCAATTATGCCCTTGTTACTATGGAAAGGCGCCCATGAAACTTGTGGAAATGCTTTGTAAGACGCGTTTGACTGACCTGGTGTCAAGTACCAGTGGGGGAATCACCTGCTCACTCG